GTGAAAACGGAGAAGGAGTAAGAATGAAAGGAGGTCCCAGGTTCGAATCCCTCAAGTAGTACCTTAATTACAAAATGAAACCTATATCACCCTTATAAAAAAAATGAAAAAAAGGAGAGGAAGGACATAGGGACACATTTGGAAATAGAAGGAAGAAAACGTGGTAATGTCAAATTACTAGGGGGAGATGTAGTATTCTCAATTACAATGAATGTGGTAATTGAAGCCAATTTCCACGGTCCAATTCCCATACCTTTTTTGCGCTGCCAAACGTGAGTTTTTACTCAATTTCTACATTATATGGTTATTGGATCCAATTACTGCATTAAATTTCTACGTCCAAACGACCCCTAACCAGATTCACTTTCGTACGCAAGAAAGCAAAGGAAAGCAGAAAAGCCACAATAATCAAAGGACGAACGAGACCCAACGCAACACGTTTTCCTAGGCCGAGTAGTAAAGTCGGGTTGTTAATTACGCCGTACCTTTGGGAGCAAAAGTGTGGCGGTCGTTCGGGTTGCCCCTGGAACAAGTCACATATGGCCCCTCGTAGGTCACAAGAGACGTACGTACGTAGGGTCACAAAAAAAATCCATGCAATGCAAGCTTGCAGCGGGGGAGTCCGGCGTCGTTCATCGACGGAATGGGATTATTTCGTGTAACGAATTTGACTTAGAGAGAATTATGTTAAAGATTAGGCCTAGGGAGTGGTTGGTAATTGTCAATAGATATATATACTGAGTATATTGTATTGTATTGGGCATCGAATACAATTGAGAAAGTTTCCACAAATTCTATCTCTCTATTACTTCTTCCTTTCCTCTCCTCTTCTTCCATTGGTTGCGTCTGCAACTTCTCTTCTTCTGCACTTCATTCTCTATGTTCTTCTTCTCTTTCTTATCAGCGGCGTATCTAGAGCTGGGCCAACTCGGAACACGACCCAGCCCTCCTCCGGATCTACAACTAGTATAGTGCTTATAAATTTTTCGATTTTAGATATTTGATCGAGTGCTATTTAAAAGTCGGTTTAGTGTTATTTGATAATATCAGGGACGGAGCTAGCTCATGACTAGGGGCCATGGCCCCCTTAGGATTGTAGAAATAAGCTGAATATAGCCTATATAAACGAAATCATTTGTAGTGCAATTGGTAAAGTGTAGTCGCTGTGATGGTTAGATTCGTGAGCCCAATTCACGGGCAACCCATTTGTTTTATAGTTATGTTCGTTATTCCTTTTCTCGGTTGCAATTTATTAGGTAGATGTTGTTAGGATGAATAGCTTTCAAAAGATATAAATGAAATTCCTAATTAATTATCAAGTATTTTCTCCATAATACGAAAATAAGATGGATAATTCATAAAAGAAATATTATGGAGATAATTAGAAATAATTATCTTAGTAGATTATATTTTAATTATGGGAGTAATTATCTCCCTAATTAAAATGTGACTTATTCCCAAAGAAAGAGGGAATATTCTGGGTTTTCTGCTCCTATAAATAGGAGACGCCCCAGACCCTCTAAACACATCTCGGAGAGCAGAAACACGAGATAGAGAGTGAGTTCATAGAGCTCCGGTTTTCGCACAAAACCGATGAGCAACAAAATTAGAGTGGCTGTTTTATCCTGAAGGCGACCGGCTGATAGTCTGACGTGCGCAACGAAGGCAGTGCCGCGAACGTCTTAAAGAGAGCGACCTAGTCCGAGACTCAGCCAGATCGGTAACCCTATTTTTCTGTTCGGTTTATAACAATTTTAAGACGTTGGTTGCTGTCATATGTACCAAACAGAATGCCGATACTGGCTCGATCAATTACTATCATCGTTCGCTGGAAAAAGGGGCCTATTGCACTAGGTCCGCAGCGGCTCGCACTTGTGTTTCTATTCCCATATCGATCGCGATATGAGCTCTTTTGTGCGAGAATCGGGGTTTAAATTGCTTGCTTGTAGAAAGAGATAGAAGTTGCAGCCGAGTTGGAACATGAATTCGGAGGCGATGACAAGCATGTGGAAGAGCTGGTACGGTGCAAGAAATTGATTGGTTCAATTCAATAACCATCAATTTAATTAAAATCTCCGAGGAAGTTTGGTGAAAGAGGTGTCCGAATGGTGGACTGGTAATCATCAGCTCGCCGAAGGGAAAGTGAAGCATGAATCCCAAAGCCTTGGAGGTTGAGTTAAACTCTTAATGAGATCTATACTCTATGTGGAGTGAAGTACTTTACTTTGGGGGTACTTCTGATAGACTCACCTATGTGAATGTGGGAATGGGATCGCTCCCTATGGAACTTTGGAGGCACAAAGTTGCTAGAGCGTTCACTAAACCGGGGTAATGTGCATGGCCATAAACGCACGGCCTATGAGAGAATATCACTCAATGAAAAGATCTGGTGTGCTACATTGTCTGAGATAGGGTTCAAGACTACGAGTCACCCTTATGAAATCGGAAGTGTAACCACTACGCTAAGGTTCAAATCTTCGCGATACCTTAGCTTATGCCCGATCTTATGGAACTGTTAATGCTCAGAGATAGTTTCAAAACTATTCAGGAGGGGGATTGTTGGGATGAATAGCTTTGAAAAGCTATAAATGAAATTCCTAATTAATCATCCAGTATTTTCCCCATAATACGAAAATAAGATGGATAATTAATAAAAGGAATATTATGGAGATAATTAGAAATAATTATCTTAGTAGATTATATTTTAATTATGGGAGTAATTATCTCCCTAATTAAAATGTGACTTATTCCCAAAGAAAGAGGGAATATTCTGGGTTTTCTGCTCCTATAAATAGGAGACGCCCCAGACCCTCTAAACACATCTCGGAGAGTAGAAACACGAGATAGAGAGTGAGTTCATAGAGCTCCAGTTTTCGCACAAAACCGATGAGCAACAAAATTAGAGTGGCTGTTTTATCCTGGAGGCGACCGGCTGATAGTCTGCCGTGCGCAACGAAGGCAGTGCCGCGAACGTCTTAAAGAGAGTGACCTAGTCCGCGACTCAGCCAGATCGGTAACCCTATTTTTCTGTTCGGTTTATAACAGATGTTCAATCCATTGTATTATAGTTATGTTCGTTTTTCCTTTCTTGGTTGCAATTTGTTCAATCCATTGTTGTCTCAACAAACAATCGGGTTGTGTTTTCATTTGTAATTTGTTATGTTTTGACTTTGTGTCTCCTTTTTCTTTATTGTCTTATTAAATTACATAATTACTAGGTAGTGATGCCGCGTCTTGTCGCGGGCGGAGATGGCCTATTTGCATGTATTATGTGGCCCGTTATGATATTTTATTAGTATTATTAGGCTAAAATTAATTTTTTGTTAGCAGTTTTGTTAGTAATATTGACTTGACAATATGATATTGACTAAGAATACATATATGGCGATTAACATCCAATTTAAAGATTTTTGAAAATTTTGGCTAGTAAATGATATTTACCAAAACCCAAGTAGACCCATTGATTATTATGGGTAGAGTATGTGTAACGTATATATGGGTTTGAAAGTTTGTAGATGGGTTTTGGTAGGGTATGTATATTTACTTGCATAATCTAATTTTGTATGAGTTGGGTATGGGTACCCATTTATTCGAGGGTGTTTTAATTGCACATACAAATATAAAACCTTAGAACTTCAAAAGTTTCGGTACCAAAATGTAATACACAAAAATTTTAGGTACTAAAATGTATTGTTTAATCAATATTTTGAGGACTTATATGTCACACAAATAAATTTAGGTTATAAATCTAAAGATATATTAAGATTAGGTACGAAACTATAATTTGCATAGTTGAGACTTAATTCCTTTTATGGTGATGTATTTAAGATCATAATTATTTACCTTTTTGGTAGAAAAATGGAAAATATTTATTTGATACTTAGCCAAACATTCCATGTATAATTGTTGAAAATTCTAGGCCGGGTGAAAAAGAAAAACTCTAGAGAGAAGCAAAAGGAATACAAACTGGAACTCGCTTAAATTTCACGCCCTCAAATCCCAAAGTGTAAAATGACGATTTTCTAATAAGTAATAACCATATATATTTATTTTTAATTGGATCGACATTGAGCTTAAAAAGTTAGTGGTTCATGGTTCAATTGTTAGTTCTCTAGCCTGTTGGTGAGTCGTGTATGGACCCGTTCATACTTGTGATTAGAATACATAAAAATAGTATACTAATTAGGATTAGACAAAGAAGGCAAATAAAGAAATCGTTATGGTCTATGGAAGGCTAGTGAAAAATGATACGAAGAGGAAATAGATGATGGAAAGGTTTTGACCAATTCTTTTAGTTGACCATCAATACAACAATCAACCCTTTTCATCGTAGAAATTTATTGACACTTGTTTTTGAAGATGTCACATATTTTGTTACATGTAGTTAATAAAAGTTTGTTTAGTACCCGTAAATGTATGAAATGAGTTTATAAATTCGCTCCTCTTATATTCTAGAGTCGTCTCTCTTTTATCATTTATTTAATGTTTCACGTAATGAGTAAATATAAAATGGTCGAATCTTCTTCTAAAGTTGAGTTATACAATATCTTGTATTGTACAAACTAAATTTATACTTTTATGTTATGGTGGATTGGATTCATGGATTGTTTCAAAAGGATTTGTGTTGGGTATGGATTAATATGCCTACACGACTATAAACGGGCCCAAGCCCACCGCAAGGCGTCCTGGGCCCAAGCCCACTCAAGGAAGCCCAAACCCTATATAAGGAGGCCTAACCCTCCAAACTAGAAGACCTTCTTCTTCCCTTCCTCACTCTTACCCTAAGGTCTCTCTCTAAACTCTCTCTCTACATACCATAAACCGCATATTATATCGTACTAACTTGGGCGTCGGAGCGTAGATCCTGGGGGCCGCCCCCCGCCTCACAGGTTCTTCCCCTCTCGAGGAAATCAGACGAAGGAGTCCAGATCAGAGCCCCATATCTGCTTAGAACATTCTACGCACAAACAATTTGGCGCCCACCGTGGGGCAAAGATTATGGTACTCATTTCGTTTGATTTCTGAAAAAGAGGAAGAAATCAGCCCCTCCATTAATTACAAGCAACCGCAGCCGCTGCCAAAATCCTAGAGCCGCCTGAGCTCTCGACAAAAGGAAATATTGGGCCCAACTTCGAACAAACCGCAGCAGTTACAGATTTTGGCCACCAACTGCACCCAGCCCAAAGAAGCATACACAAGTTAAGCCTCGCAAAGCGTCCCGCTCGTTTGGACTCAGGCCATCATCATCAACATGACTTGGGCCACCTACCATCAACCCGCACGGATCGCCTTCCATTCCAGTCGAGGCCCATAATGCTGTCACTCGGCCCACCACCAGGCAAAGCCCACGCAACCGCCCAATAAGATTCCAAAGCCGGCCAACCGCACAATTCAGCCCGCTCCGCTTCAACTGACCAACGCGGGCCAGTCTCAAGCTCTCTAGCGTCTCCAAATGCAGGCCCACCTCCGAAGCCCTCAATATGCGTCCAACTCACCACATCTAGCGTCTCCAAATGCAGGCCCACCTCTAAAGCCCTTCCTATGCATCCAGCCCGCCAACCGCACAATTCAGCCCGCTCCGCTTCAACTGAGCAACGCGGGCCAGTCTCAAGCTCTCTAGCGTCTCCAAATGCAGGCCCGCCTCCGAAGCCCTCAATATGCGTCCAGCCCAACTCCGCGTTCATCAAGGACCGCCACGGCCAAAAACAGCTAAAAGAACACGTCCCCCAGGCTACGAACCCACGACCGCACAACATCAACAACAACTTGACTCAGCTGCCAACAGACTACAAGAGCAACTTGTGAATCAATACCGCGAGATAATTTATTTTACCCAATTATCGCCCTCCAAGCCGATGATGAGAGCATACAACCGCCGACAGTCCAACACGGCCCGCTTAACAACCGCTCGGCCCAAGCTTCAGCGGCCCACGTCCTTAGCATCAGGCCTCATTAAAAAAGAAAGAAAAAACAGCCTCCATCAAGAATCGAACTAAGGACCTTGCTTTCGCATGCAAGCACTTCAACCAGTATGCTACATGACCGCTTTGTTAATCAAGGTAGCAACAGCCAATATTCAACCGCTTGCCAACTTCTCTAAAGCTAAGTCAACTTTACAGAGGTATATCATATAGACATATACCAAACCATGCAAAGCGGTTCATTATTATCATCCTATGAGCTTTCCGCAACATGCTAGGGTATATTTATACTTTAAATTTATTGGGCACTGGCCACTTGCTTCTTTATCGGATACTTGAAGACTCATGCCTCCGACCTCCGGGTTAGGCTCAAAGACTCCCGCCTCTGAGCGATGCTCCCCGCCTCCAAGCGATGCTCCCTCCAGGGAATGCTTCCCACCTCTGAGCGGTCCTCCCTCCGAGGAATGCTTCACGCCTTCCGCCTCTGGGCAAGGGTCGAGCATCGCTCCGAGGGCTAGAGACGAAGTGTCTCCCATCAGGAAGAAGGCGGAGCGCCTCTCATAGGATGAAAGACTAAGGCGCTTCCCAGGAAGCCGAGGAGCGATGCGCTTCCAAAGAAGCCAAGGGAGCAACGCCCTTCCCAGGAAGCCAAAGGAGCAATGCGCTTCCCAGAAAGCGGAGGAGCGATGCACTTCCCAAGAAGCCGAAGGCGCGATGCGCTTCCGAGGAAGCCAAGGGAGCAACGCGCTTCATAGGAAGCGAAGGAGCGATACGCTTCCCGGGAAGCCGAGGAGCGACGCACTTCACAGGAAGCCGAGGAGCGATGCGCTTCACAGGAAGCCAAGGAGCGATGCGCTTCTCAGAAAGCCAAGGGAGCAAAGTGCTTCCCAGAAAGCGGAGGAGCGATGCACTTCCCAAGAAGCGGAAGGCGCGATGCGCTTCCGAGGAAGCCAAGGGAGCAACGCGCTTCACAGGAAGCAAAGGAGCGATACGCTTCCCAGGAAGCCGAGGAGCGACGCACTTCAAAGGAAGCCGAGGAGCAATGCGCTTCACAGGAAGCCGGGAACAAAGCACTTCCAAGGAAGCGGAGGAGTGATGCACTTCTCAAGAAGCCGAAGGCGCGAGGCGCTTCCCAGGAAGCCGAGGAGCGATACGCTTCTCAGGAAGCCGAGGGAGCGATGCGCTTCTCAGGAAGCCGAAGGCGCGAGGCGCTTCCCAGGAAGCCGAAGGAGAAGCACACCCCAGGAAGCCGAAGAAGCACTAAGCTTTCCAGAAAGCTGAAAGACTAATGAGCTTCTCAAAAGGCGAAGTACTAAGCTTCCTGGAAGAGAAAAGTTGATCTTGCCTCACACAAGACATTAACAAGACACATGAATTCCCGACAACATGGACGCGACATTGGTAAGACACGAAACAAGAGCGTCCTGAGTTAAAACTCTCAAGCCGTGGGGGCCACCCTACCTAGGTCGCAATTATGGTCTATTAGCGCTAACAACAATGGACTAGCAAAGGAACTCTTAACGACTTGAGAGCTTTATTTCAAGACATCGAAAGATAAGCAAGGGGCAGAAGAAATGATCACGCAACTCGCACAAGGGGCAAACCGCATCATACGGATTCGCAAGTAAGGCCAATTAATACACGATTAACGCATTATATTACTCCTTCCATTCTTACAGAATACAAGAAGTAAAGGGCAAATTGTAGGGTATGGATTAATATGACTACACGACTATAAACGGGCCCAAGCCCACCGCAAGGCGTCCTAGGCCCAAGCCCACTCAAGGAAGCCCAAACCCTATATAAGGAGGCCTAACCCTCCAAACTAGAAGATCTTCTTCTTCCCTTCCTCACTCTTAGTCTCTCTCTAAACTCTCTCTCTCTCTCTCTCTCTCTCTCTCTCTCTCTCTCTCTCTACATACCATAAACCGCATATTATATCGTACTAACTTGGGCGTCGGAGCGTAGATCCCGGGGGCCGCCCCCCGCCTTACAGGTTCTTCCCCTCTCGAGGAAATCAGACGAAGGAGTCCAGATCAGAGCCCCATAACCGCTTAGAACATTCTAGGCACAAACAATTTGTGGATTGGATTCATGGATTCAAAAGAAATCTAAACATTGAACCAATATGTAAATTTTAAAAACTATAGGTATAAATATCTCATAAAATTTAGATACCAAAATATAAATTTTCAATTATTTTACATTAAAATTAAATTTGGGTTATCAAAATGTAAAATTTACATTATAATGACTAAGTTGTGATTTAATTAAATTTGGGCTATCAAATTGTAAATTATTAGGTAACACTAACCTCACTTCAGATTTATATATATATATTTTTCAATTATTTTACCTTAAAATATCTCAAATGTAAATTATATTGACTAAGTTGTGATTTAATTAAATTTGGGGTATCAAATTATAAATTATGAGGTAACAGTAACCTAACTTCATATTTGTATATATTAAATTTGATTTTTATTCTTATCTGGGAATGATAGTTACTTGCTCATAATATCATTTTTTGACAATTTGATAATAATACCATTCTAACTCATTTTGTTATCTTATCTTATTATACGTAAACATCCCTTTGAGACAAACATCAAGCAAATTTATGTATTTACAATTCAGATATGTTAATTATTGGCTCATAAAATAAGTAGTTTCCTTGAGTTTATCGACTAGTTATTTCTTTTCGCCTGTTTAGATGTTTTCTTTAGACAACAAGAATTTATTTGCAAAATTTTCCGAAAAGTTTTATTTTTTAGAATCACTTCATAATCACATTTATCATTTAGCTCTTACAATAAAAATCGAAAGATTGTTTGAAAAGTGAGTGACATGACGATTTACGTGGTTTACTTTAATTAAATTTGGGGTATCAAATTGTAAATTATTAGGTAACACTAACCTCACTTCAGATTTATATATTTTTTTTCAATTATTTTACCTTAAAATATGTCAAATATAAATTATAGTGACTAAGTTGTGATTTAATTAAATTTGGGGTATCAAATTGTAAATTATTAGGTAACAGTAACCTAACTTCATATTTATATATATTAATTTGATTTTCATTCTTATTTGGTAATGATAGTTACTTGCTCATAATATCATTGTTTGACAATTTGATATTAATACCATTCTAACTCATTTTGTTATCTTATCTTATCAAACGTAAACATCCATTTGAGACAAACATCAAGCAAATTTATGTATTTACAATTCAGATATGTTACTTATTGGCTCATAAAATAAGTAGTTTCCTTGAGTTTATCGACTAGTTATTTCTTTTCGCCTGTTTAGGTGTTTTCTTTAGACAACAAGAATTTATTTGCAAAATTTTCGAAATGTTTTCTTTATAGAATCACTTCATAATCACATTTATCATTTAGCTCTTACAATAAAAATCGAAAGATTGTTTGAAAAGTGAGTGACATGACGATTTACGTGGTTTACTTTAATTAAATTTGGGGTATCAAATTGTAAATTATTATGTAACACTAACCTCACTTCCGATTTATATTTGTTTTTCAATTATTTTACCTTAAAATATGTCAAATATAAATTATAGTGACTAAGTTGTGATTTAATTAAATTTGGGGTATCAAATTGTAAATTATTAGGTAACAGTAACCTAACTTCATATTTATATATATTAATTTGATTTTCATTCTTATTTGGTAATGATAGTTACTTGCTCATAATATCATTATTTGACAATTTGATAATAATACCATTCTAACTCATTTCGTTATCTTATCTTATCAAAAGTAAACATCCATTTGAGACAAACATCAAGCAAATTTATATATTTACAATTCAGATATGTTAATTATTGGCTCATAAAATAAGTAGTTCAAGCTAGCGTGCGCCAGGAGTACGCTATACTCTTGCATTCACACTACCATACGACTATTGGGTTTTACTATTTAGACCCCGAATTAACCAGAGTTTTTTTAGACATGATACTATACCCTAATATCTAATAGGTGAACTCCAGTCCCTAATTCTATAACCTCTAATTTATGCATATACTTCGTCATACCTATCTTCCATCGCATCTTGAGTAAAATCAAAAGTATAGTGTACCTTGACATTATATATATGTATAGTATCCCCCATCCCCGGGATAGAGATCCCGCTATTACCCCCATAACGCAAGACAACCATTGGGGTTGTCTATCGTCCGATATGTTATATATAAAGAGGCAAATCATAAGATCTTGCTATTTATTTCTTGTCATCTTCCGCCGCCCCCTTTATGGAGAATAAAAGGGTAGGGATGACAGGATCATAGCTTGATATGGTTTTATTCTGTTCATCGTATCGGAGGTTATGTTCTATTTTGATTTTTTGGGCTTCTTTTCATTCTTCTTTGGCACCTATGGTTGTGATCAGCGGTTTTAGCCCCCGAGAGGATTGGGATTTTAGGTCCTTTGAAAATCCAATACACATTCATGATCCTCGAGTTTGGGCAAACTCTCGACCAATGTTGTAAATATTATGACTTTTTAGTGAGAATTTCATAGTAAAGATACTTTATTATTGGATTTTATTCATTCATATTGAAACTTGACACACACCGTAGCTCTCACGATGACTAAATTCTCTAATCTCAACTCATTTCCATTTTGGATGTTAATTTTTTTTATTATCAAGACACTCAAATTTAGTATATTATACAATATGTATCAATTGTTAATTCTTGAAGTTTAGACTAAAGCTCAACCTGTGGTCATTTTTTATATGTTGGCTTAGAATCTCAATCTAAGACCCTCACACACACTATCGAGGATTTTAGACTTAACATGGTCGTTGAATATGTAATTTTCAAATATTTTATCATATATTAATAATTGATAAAGATTGTCTACAATACACACATATTTAAAGTGCATTTAAAATATCTTATCATTTGAACAATGTCGGTGGATTTTATTTGATTATTTGCATTAACTTATTATCTTATACAACATATATCAATTCGTGTTTCTCGAGTTTGGACAAATTGACAACCAATTTTGAGAGTTGAGATTATTGGATAAAGATAATTGATTGTTGGATAAATATGTTTATCTCAATAGACTATCTTACTAAAAATTGCCAATCTTTATTTGGTAAATGCCTAGGTTAGTAGTTGATGAAACGTGATGTTTATCGTAGATTCTCAATAAAGGTTTATCTAACTTTCACATATGTTATTTTTCAAAGAATCTTGTGTCTCATCCTAGGGTATAAAGTCAAAGTTCGTCAACAATAAGACTTAAGTCATTTTGAAAGTTTTGATTTATAATCGTCTACGATAACTCCAAGTCTAAAAGAAAATTTCTTAGCATATGACTTAGGATCTCAATAGAGCTTGCTCAATCAACATGATATAGAGCAAATATTATTAATTTGAACTTATGACACATTATAAAATTATTGCACACACGATTTCTCTTTATTTGAGGAGTTTAAGGTAGAACATGATCTGAATGAATAAGAAGTTTTTTTTAAATAAGTAATTGTAACTACTCGATCAAGATTATACTTTGACATTTTTCTAAATAATACTTGTTTTATTTATAGACATATACTTTACGAATAAGAGAGTGTTTCATTGCAACAAAATATAAAGTAATATATTTTATCTTTCAAAGGTAATTGAATGTCAAATATTTATTTTCTCACTTTTTCATATATATTTTGTTTAATTGATAAAACAATTATTTTTTATGTGTATGTTTGTTTAATTTTTCTATCAAAATGTAGCTTATCATTCAATTTAGTAAAAATGAGTAAAAAATTTACTTCATAAGGTTTAATTAGATATTTTTATTTAAACAAATGTGATATATGTCACTTTCTGTTTTTTTATATTTTGTTTAGTTGACAAAATAATTTACGTATGTTTGGTTAAGTTTATCAACATGTAACTTATTATTAAAGAAAAATGGATAAATAAAAAAAAATAATTGGATAAAAGAAATGAAAATATTAAAGAAGAGAGAGGTAGCTCCATAAATATATTAATAACTAATTTTCTTTTTGTAAAAAGTTGTTCAACTTGGCAAATTGTGGATCTTCCAAGTGTTTATGTGACAAGAGATTGCTTTTGAATTGCCATAATATTATATATAGATTCAGATATGTTAAATATTGGCTCATAAAATAATTAGTTTCCTTGAGTTTATCAACTGGTTATTCTTTTCGCTAGTTTAGGTGTTTTCTTTAGACAACAAGAATTTATTTGCAAAATTTTCCGAAATGTTTTCTTTTTTAGAATCACTTCATAATCACATTTATCATT